GTCCAAGTATAGGTTTCGCATTAGCACAATTAAATGTTCTGGGTTTCCCATTCTTCTCAGAGTCAGCCACAGTTTGTTATGATCCACACAGTCAAACGCCTTTGCATAATCAGTGAAACACAGATAGACACAGATTTGACTCCAGCACCATAGACATTGAAAATCATATTTAAAAAAATCATATTCCAGTGAATTGATGGTACTTGATATTGTGAGGCTCATAAACCTGTGATTATATAATTGAGATTGTTTTCTCTGGAAAAATTAATTAGATGGTGAGCTCTAATTATGTCTCTTCTTTCTTTATATCTGTTAACGGCATCACTGTTTTCTTATTTCTCCAAACCACAAGCTGTGGAATTGTCAAGCTTTGTTGATTACTCCTCAGGGTCTCTTGGTTGTTTTGTCTTCCCACTTTCCTGGGGAGCTCTTGCACAACAACTTCCCTGCCACTAGTCCCCATCTCCAGTGTATCTTCCGTATCACTGCCCGACTCCTTGGTTGAAACACTTCTATAAACTAAGGGTTCATACTCACACTCGTTAGTCCCCATAGTCCGTCACCATCTGCTTCTCCTCTGTCATTCCCTCTTTATGCAAGCTGTTAGCTTTAGTTTGGCTGACTTACTTCTTTCTTACCTCGAATAAGTGTGATTCATCATTTTATACTTGGGCTTGATGTCATCTCTGCTATCATCAGTAAAGCCTTTCTCACCCTCAGAGTAACAAAGCCTTTGCCATCAGCTCCACCTTCACTGTTGCTGTTACATTATTCTGTTTACGCATTTCCATGATACAACTGTTCACTTATTTTTTTCATGAGCCTGTCTTTCTAATTAAATTATAAACTTTTCAAGGACAAGTACTATATCTAGCTCATCATTATACCACCAGCTCCTACCTCATAGCGCCCAGCCTGTGATGGTTTTCAGTTTATACTAGTTAAATAGTGATGCCACATAGGACCATTGGAAGACAACAGCATCTTGAAACTAAGATAATGGTGACTATATCTTTTTTTTTTTTTTCAAATAATTGTAATGAGCATTGACGGAGATTTTGGATTTCCATTCATTCATTGCTGCACTTCTCTCCCCACCCAGCCCTCCCCCCTCCCCAGTTCGCTCATCTCTTC